CACCACGGTCTCATGGAGGTATCTATAGGTTGTTCCACTTAAACACTGAAAGTAAAACCCAACATAGGAAAGTCAAGGTCATTTTATAATCATCCTTCTGCTGCTAGCTGCTGACAACTGATCTCACTACCATTTGACATCTTTAAGGATCTTAATCCACCCTGAGCAGCTCCTGATAGTGGATTCATACTTACTTCCTACAGGGGATCATAGGACTTAAAAGAGGCAGGAGGTGCAGAGAGCAAGTGGAGCTCCAAGAGGTCCCTGGGCTCATGCAGCAGCCCATGATCCACCTCTGTCTGCTGCCGTGATGGGTCGCATGCTGCACGAAGAGGCCATGTTCTGCCTGGAGTCCTAAGTTGGACTCTTGCCTTGGCTTTCCTTTAGCTATCCTTCCAACAAATGGTCCACTGAACACAAACCTTAGGTGTTAGTAAGAAAAGGTCCAGGGAGTGCCCTCTTTTCCAAGGAGCCAAATTACAAGCAGCAGTTGGTTGCCCAAAAAGAAGGTGAATGGAGTATCTTTCTCTTTTCTTAGTTGATGGGCAGCAATGTGTAGACTACTTATATGCACGAAGGTTGAGGAGAGTTTAGGAAAGAAGTGGGGAGTGTGGTGGAGCAGGGAGAAAGCGGGGGAAAGCAAAAGCATATGTATCACAGCTAATCCATTCTCTTTCTAATCTAATTGTTCACAAGGACAATGTCACCTAGTTCTTGAGACACTGCAACAGTGACCTTGATTGATTGTGATCAGCCTCACACTGTACTTTATACAACAGCCTGGTGTTTTCATGTCCATTAATGTCACCAAGTCCAGCAGGCTTGGTGCAGGGAAGTACTTTGTTCTATGCAAACTGCGCTGCTCTCCCTCAAGTGGCCCAGTGGGTGTGCTGGTATGTGGGGGTATGTTTGTCTAGTCCTAGAGCTAGTCCAGCTCTGCAGGCTGTCCCCAAGGAGCCAAGTCATCATCCAGGGAGGGCACTGAGAGCTTCAGGGGACCACAGGGCTTTCTAATTCATAGGAGAAGGACCTTCTGATTTACAATCCTTTGGTTGTGAAGCATATCCTGTATTTGTATGCGTGTATATATGCTTGTGTGTGTGTGTGTGCATGTGTGCGTGTTTGCATATTGGAAGTTGGGGAGGGTGGTGTTGAGATAGGAATTGCAAGTTTCCTGAAGTCATACTAGATGGCCACTGAGCTATGGAAGGGGACATTTGCATATACGCCATTGAGCCTGGGACTCTTTCCTCCGGAACAGAAACTAACAACTTTTGGCAGAGAGTCAAAGAAGAATTCAGAGACTGCAGAAGAGGATACTAACAATTCCTCATGACTATGCAGATCCTGTGTCACTGGTCCTAGAGAACACTGACTTAGCAGAATAGCATTAAGTAGCTATTGGATATGTTAAAAAATAAATAAAATAAGGCTAAGTCATGCTTAGGAGAAAGCATGGAAGGACTCACAGTTTAGAATCAGCTTGTCCTTCATTAAGAGAACAATCAGCAACAATCACAGAGAACAATCACTTATGGGATGAACTGCCTGCTGTGGTCTTTCCTGGGTGGCAGGTGGGTCCACCACCTATATTGCCTGCCTGACTGAAGATGCCCAGGAGGAGGAAGATCTTCTGAGAGCAGATTGGCTCCAGCCACTCCTCTTATTTGCAAAGAAGTAAAGAGGGGAGCTTTAGGTGCAACTCAGCCCCCACTGACATGGCCACAGATGTCAAGAATGCTTCAGACATAAGTGAGGGCTTTCTGCACAGCCCTTCTTTTGCTTTTGTACCATGGCTGTGCCGTGATTCTTTTCCTTGCCATTCAGAAGTGTGGCAGCTGAATCCAGGCTGTGTCTGTCCAGAGAGCTGCCCTTAGGTCTGACCCCTTCCTCTCAAGCTGCATATAACTAGCCTTCCTTTTCAATCACTTCCTGTTTCTTGGCAAAGACTGTTAGAATAAAACAAGGGAGTCCTGGAAACGAGCCCATGCCAACACACTGGGGAGGGCCTTCCTCCAACAGAAGAGATCTGGGGAGATGCGGGTCCTCAGGGGCAGGAGGCTTCATGAAAGCAGAACTGATCTTCTCCCCGTCATCTTGGGTTACACGAGCCTCCCAGGAATGACTGTGATGAGTCTTCCCAGAAAAAGAACTGTCTGGGCCAATCGATGTGGCAGGCTGTGCTGGCGGGCGGGCTCCTGTAACCTACTGAGACCCAGCTAGGCTTCTGTGTCTGGGCATGAAGCCAAGGGAGAGGGAGCTGGGAGGGGGCTGAGGACCTGCTAATCCCGGTTGCTGAGGGACCCTGCCAGGCTCAGGACAGGATACAGCTGTGATGGGCCAAATGCAGAGCTGGGCTGTAGGCTGTCTTTCACCTGCACCCAAGTCAGAGCAGGTGGGCTCAGGCATGGAGAAACTTCCTGGGAATACAGGCTCAAGACTCAGTCACATAAATACCAGCTTTGTTGAGCTGTCATTGTCATTAGAAAGGGTGAGGTTATAGACTATGGAGAAAGGCAGCAGCAGTGACCCTTCTCACCCGGGGCCTGGCAGGATGATGGGGGGAGCAATAGCAGGAGGGGTTAAATTACAGGAGCATTTCTTAAGCGTGTTCAGTCTGTAACCCCCTGGTGACCTTGACAGTACAAAAGCCCATTCAGCCACGAGGGCCACCTGTTAGCAGGGGCCTCATCCTCAGGCTGGTGATGCCTGAGTTCTCTCTCCTTGATTCTTTCTGACGTTCTTCTGTCTGTTTCTATCTCTCCTACACTGTGCATGAGTACGTAAACACACAGAAACTCTGTCTCTGTCTCTGTCTATCTGTCTGTCTGTCTGTCTGTCTGTCTGTCTGTCTGTCTGTCTGTCTGTCTTTCCCTCTTTCCCTTCCCACAGTGAGAACTTCACACCTCAAGAACCCATTCCTCTGTTCTCTGCACTAGGCTTCCTGAGGGTTGCACTTGCTGGGGCCACTCAGTAAGTGACAGCATCACTTAGCACAGGATCTTGCCCACAGTGGAGCTTAACAACTCCATGGTCTTATTTTGCGCCACTATAACTCAGCAGTGTAGATATGCATGACATCACATCTGCAAGTCACAGGTGAGGGCACAGGGACATTGGGGTGTGTAGCACCCGGATTTGGTGACACATGCTCACAGTTCATGTCTATGGCTGCTTTCTCAGTGCTGCTCTGACCATCCAGCTGCCAGCATTCTTGTGGGTTCATGGCATGCTTTTAGAACAGACCACACTTCCCCTTAGTCTTAGTGCACCCCTCTATTAATACAGCAGGGGTAATTGAGGCCACACAAGAAGTAGGGTTTGTGACCTTCTCCTCTCATTTTGCCAAACTCAGCCATGGAAACAGGAGCCTCTGTCACTTTCTCAAAGCCTCAATGTCCTCACAACTCATGGGTCTCAATGAAATGTAGGGCCAACATCATGTTGCAGCAGAGACCAGCATAGACATGGAAACCTGCAGGTTTAAAGCATCAGAGAAGATCCAGCTCTCCCCACTGCCCTTGCATGGGGAGCACACAGAAGCAGCTGAGCCATCCTTGACCACTGTGAGGCAGTGGGTTTGGAACTCAGTCTCTTTTGGAAAGGCCTCACTGCGTGGGACAAGGAAAACTTCCCTTCTGGCCACAAAATGTCCTCCAGGGGACTCATCTTGACTTACCAGAGTCCATCTGTACTTTGGGAGGAATCTTACCAGCCTCTGAAGCATAGTGATGGGTATGCATCACTACCCTTGGTTACCAGTGACCTTGGAGTCAACTTGAATGCAGTCTTTGGTCTGCCTCTGAGTTTTGTGCATGTCAGTGTGGCTCAGTGATTCTCTGTTTTTTCCCTGCCACAAAATATCTGAAAGATTTCAGATATTGCCTTAAGGAACTCAAGTTCTCCTGGCACCTAAGAGTGTTACCAGAGATGGGGAAGGAGCCTGTTGACTTAGAGAGGATTTGTTAGAATTTAGGAGGTTTCTAACATTCAGAATTTGAGAGTATTCTTTTCTTTGGGAGGGGAGATAGAGAACCTGACTTCCTACTTTCCTATAGTTGCAAGTTATTGGCAAATGCCATTGGTCACATGGTATTAGTAGGAAAACAAAAGTCTTCTCCTTAATTTTGATGTGCATCTAATTGGAAAGTGTAGTTTCAGGTGTGATGTGATGCTACAGTTGTGTTGGAACCAAGTTTCATTGAAATGGGGTCAAACTATGGTCATCATCTCCAGGTAGCAGTACTAAGGGTCTCTGGATGCCTTCAAAATGGCTTTGGGTTCCCTGTCCTTATTTCTTGGCTGTCTGTCCTTTATGTCCTATCCTTTGGGTCATTTGCCATGCTAACACTTGTCTCTATTAGAACACCATTGGCTTTCTCAGAGTTCTAGAGAACACAATGGAGCCAGCCCAAGAGAGGGCACACTGGGTGTGTGCTAGCACTTGGGGAAGGCTTCCTTGGCCAAGTAACTCTGGGCTCAATGCACTGACAGCCACCTGATGGGTGTTCCAACAGCAGATTGAGTGTCATCAGGCAGTACACCATTGAACTGCACATCCAAGTACCAGAAAGTTCCATGGAGAAACCAGAAGGTGTGTTAAGTAGACTGCAGCTATATTACAACAGCTCTATCGCAGCACTGCAGTGATCCGTGTGAAGCTCAAGAAAAAAAAGCCCCCTACAGTTGCATCATATGGCCGCATCACCCATGAGGAAAGTCCCAGGATCTTGCTTCCTCTGGCTCTGCAAGGTGTAATTATCCAGTGCAATAAGTATGTCCTGGTCTGTCATCACCCCCATCTTGCCATTTTCATGTATTTCTTGTGAAAACCGAGCAACTTAAAGTGAAATGAGAAAGAACAAAAGAAGGGAGTTACAAAGGACACAAGGAAGGAAGAGTAAGGGAAGGAGAGAAGAGAGAACTGAGGTGAGGAAAAGGGGTGAGAGAGAGGGGCAGAAGAAAGCCCCCACAGGCAGGCACCAGGAGGCGGTACTCACGTATTGTGTAGCACACACCAGCCACAGTGGGGATCGCCAGAGCCAAGGCACTCACTGCAGCTCCGGTACTGACTGCAGGACTCCACAGGAACTCTGGTGAGCTAGGACGGCACAACAGGGAGAAAGCAGTCACAATTCTACTGGACACCCACTGGGAGAGCTGCTGCTCTAAGCACCATCATGTCACCTGAAACACTGTAGGAGCACCAAGGTGCTTAGAGGGCCAGAGCAGAGGAGGTGAGTGATCCCGTTGGAGCAGCATAGCATTCAGGGATGTGCCCCCCTGCTATGTTCTTAGAAATCTCCACAGAGTTCATATTGAGTTGTTATAAAAATACTCACTTAGTGCATTTTAAAATTTTTCCTCCCCTCCACCCCCAAATATCCCCATCACATATTTATTTGTCATCAGTGCAGGAAAGCAGAATGTTCACTCGTTCTCCATCTTTTGCTCCATTTTTGTCAAAGTGAGTTTTTTTTCCTTTTCACTAGCCATTGCATTGTCTCCACACTTTTGATGTTACAAAAGCTTTTAGCCCAGACAAGGGTTTCCTCTCCTCTCCCTCTTGCCCCTTTCATAAGTGCTTAACTCACTGCGTAAGTGTTCCTCATCTTCTCCTTCCCAAAATGTTGGCCAACTGGCTCCCAACTGGCCCTACACATGCTCATGATGGCGCGTTCACAGCGCAGCCCTGCCATTTCCCCTCCTGCCCACACCCTTTTCATGACTTGAGGCTTCCTCTCCAACCCAAAAACGTTATATTAGCTTTCACCAGCAGCTTGTTAATGTAAAATGTTAAAATGTTCCACATGACATTTTCACTTATCCCAAATGCTTCCATTTCCTGTGTGCTCTTAGACATCTTTTGAATTTCTTTGTTCTCTAATGCAACTTTGCCTTGATGTCTCTTTATGTTTCCCAGTGCTTGCTACGTAGTAGGTCCTTAATAAAGATTCTTGAGATCAAATAGAATTTTTATTTTCTTTTTATAGCCTTAGCCCCCTAGTCCTCATTTTGCCAGTTTCTGTTTTTTAAATTTCTTTTTCTCCCTTAAATCATTCTTTCCTTTTGGGATACTTTTTTTTTTTTTTTCTTTTTGGAGGACTTCCTGCCTGGTCTTTTAGCTAGAGGTAGAAGAATTTGACGAGGTTGTCACTTGCAGTTTCTCACCATTAGACATATCAGGCACAAAAGTCACCAGCAGGCCCAGAAATCTGTAAATGGGGCTGCCCTGGTTAGGCCCTCTCTGCTCACAAGCAAATGCAGAAGCTGTGTTGTCCCTGCTGTTTCATAGGACATCTGCCTCTATAAAATTATGTCCACTTGGCAGGCGCTACTTGTAACTCATGTATAGGGAATCTGGCATGAGAGCCTGCCCAATTAGTCTTGACTCTCTTTTGGAATTAATTAATAATTAATTTCAAGTCCCACATGACCTCTTTTGCCTTAGATTTCCTATTCCTTTTATGTATCTTTTAGTTCGTTAAAATAGACATTTATCCTTCTAAATGACCATTCTGCATTTTTACTTCTTCCCAGTTACCTTTTAGTTTCTTTCTCCTATTTTTACAGCTCTGCCCTTTGCCTTTCCTTGATGTCTTCTCTATGCCCTTAGAATTTTATCTTTCCATCTACCAGCACTCATGCAATCAGCCTGGGCCATGCCTGGTCCTGGCTATCTCTCTGTACTTTGCTGTCTTCATAATGAACCTCCAACATCAGCTTCTCACAAATGACTCCACTTGCTCCATATGCAGCCAGGAATTCCCCCTCTTTGTTTTGCCTCTTTAACTTCTCTCACCTTTCAGGAGTGAGCTTGCATGTGCCAGTGCACCAGGCATGTAAGTACATACCCAGTGGTTCCCAGCCCAAACGACTCAGACTCCTAGGAATTCAGGAGTGGGAACGAGGGTCACAGTTACTTTCAATATTTCCAAAACCCAGTGAAATTTAGATTGGTACTATTTTAATATTTTTATGCATGCTTATGATGTATGCCCCATATTAAAACTATGAAATATATTATTACTTCATAAACAGTTTGTTTAGTAGACACAGTCTTTCAAAACATGATGCCCTGAGGGGGAAAATAATAAAAGGGGCCATAGATGGTGAAAGTTGGAACCATAAGGACATAATAATGTTTTCATATGTTCCAGCTGCTTGTCTGGCACTCCATATTTTGCATGGGCTTAAAGAAAAAATCATGGCTTGTTCAATCAAAAGCATTTTCTTGGCCTAAACTTAATTGACATCCTCCCCAGCTTCTCCTATTGACCAGTTCTATAATCTGTCTCGGATGGAGTGTGCCCTAGCATTCCAGGGTGTACCACCTTAAGTGAAGGGCCAGCTGTTTGGTGAATTTGAAACTCTCACATTCTATATTCTAAATATGTCTTGCAAATGGTGTTTAATAATATCAAGACCCCGGGATTGTAAAGTCCTTCCTCTCGTGATTTCCAACAGCACGTTGCTTGGTTGCTTGGAAAGACTGCAGGATCCTGCTGAACTAGGTTCAAAGCCTGGCTGAGACACTTAATAGCAGTGAGACCTGTGTTCTCTGAGTCTGGTATTTCTTACCCTTAAACATGGAGAGAAGAGCTCTCCCTAACTTGGTTTCTGTAAATGCTCTCACACTTTACAAGAGACGGGTATTGTTATGGCTATCTTTGCCAACAGTGTCTTATTCATCTGTGCTGTCACTTTGAGTTCCATGTCTACCCCTGAGAACTGCTCTGAGAGTCTTCCAAGGTCGCATGAACTCCACTAGGAGTCAGACAGACTAGAAAGCCCTTTTCTTCTTTAGTGCCTTGATGGTGCCATTTTACCCTTGAATTACGGCATCTGGAGATAATTACCTGGACCTCTACAGCCCTCTACTCTTGAAGGCAAGCAGCCCAACTATTTTTTTTAATGTTCTTGCATGTTTTTGTCATCCATGCATCCCATTGTTTGCCTTACTTTCTTCTGAACTTGACCTAGGTTTTCCTCACTCTTTTTAAAGCATGAATACTAAAACTGGGAGCCGCAGGGGGACACTCCCAGGCCAAGGAGAAGAGCTATCATTATTTGGGAGTTAGATGCCTCATCCCTCCCCTTTTGAGGACCTCCCCAAGGAAGGCGAAGACAAGCAAGATCTTGCAAGTCCCTCCAGCAGGAAAAGCCTTGCTACCCTGAACCCACATCTCCTTGTGGGTAATTATGGAAGACAGTGGAACACTCCTAATACTTCAAGTCACTTTTCCAAATTGAATGTAGTCCAATCTACCATCTTGGTACAAATGTATAGTCTGATGTCCTTGGTCATCTTCCACACCTTGCTAGTACATTGCATAGGGGATCAGATGGCTTCTGAGCCACCTCACCACTATGACTCTTTCTTTCCTCAAATATCTAGACTCTCTGCCCACATGCTACACCAAACAAAGCTGTCTCTCCATCCCCCACCTGGGCTCCTCTCCTGACCCTGGAACACAAACCACTCCAGATGCAGAGCCACACGATTAATTAAAACCACCCCATGCTGATTAAAGTCTTAAACCACAGTGCCAGGCATGCTAATTAACTGAGTGAGGGAATTCAGACCACAGGCAGAGGTGAAAAAAGAAAGTCAAGGCACAGGGGGCGGGAGGCAGAGTTCTGTTTAGAGAATAAATCAGATGACAAAGTGACCTAAGCTATCATCATAATAAATGGTCTCAGAGACCACAAAAGATTGAGGTCTGTTCCCTGGTCACTGGTGTCTAGGAGACACACTGATTGATATGGCTACAATATCTTTATCGCTTCTGGGGACAGGAGTCCCACCACTACTGGGGACCTCCATAAGCACCTCCACCGAGCTGGGGGTAATGTGGCTCCTTGGCATAGGAGTTAGAGTGAGGTATGAATGTGGTTCTCTTGGCACACTGTCCTGGTTTTGTGCAGAAATTTAGGCAGTATGGCAGTTCTTTAAAAAGTTAAACACCGATTATCCCATGGTCCATTAATTTCACTTCTGGATGTAACTCAAGAGAACTACAAGTAGGGTCTGAAAAACACATCTGTGTACACATGTTTGTAGCAGAGTCACTCAGCGGAATCAGTAGCCAGAAGGTAGAAAAAACTCAGATGTCCATCAACATAAAAAAGATAAATAAAATATAGCATATACATACAGTCTGGAATATTAGTCAGCCTTAAAAAGGAAAGAAACGCTGGATGAATCTTGAGAACATAAAGTTAAGTGAAACAGGCCAGACACAGAAGGACAAATGCATGTTTCCACTGGTATGTGGGTCTGTGGAGTAGCCAGGTTCATAAAGAAAAAGTAGAATCGTGATTGCCAGTGTTTGGAATGAGGGAGAAATGCATTGTTTAGCAGGTACAGAATTTCAGCTTGGGGAGATAAAAACAAGTTCAGGAGATGGACGGTGGTGAATGAATTCACCACCACAAAACACTTAGAAAGAGTGTTATTAAAATTTTCCTACAATTAGAAATTTTGTTTCAAAAGCAGTCTTTTGAATGGGTTTTCACAAGGAAGCTCCTCTTCTCCATGGCCAATAGATGTAAAAATACTTGCTCTTGGCTCATCTTCCTGGGTGGGTGTGGAGCAGCCTTGTTGGTACACTAAAGCGTTCATGTTGATGAAATATTCTGAGATACTTCCGTGAGGAGTTAACCATCACTATGCTTCTCAATTTAATCTCAAATGGACAAAAGTTTTGGGTTGAATATCTCCTATTATATATTGTTATGCAAATGGCTGTTATTTTCAAGGTATGGAGGTCTACTTATTGGTTGGAAAAATAATGCCATATCCTTGCTCCAAAGAGAAGGTTTTTTTTTCCTTGTTCCCCCTCCAAAAGGCAGAAAAGTGAGGCTCATAATTCAAATAATTCATGTGTTTAGAAAATAATCCTGCTCTTCTTTGCCCCTGCTTTGGCATTTTCATCTCCACTGTGGTCATGGGCCCTTTTCCACCCCTAATATCTCTCCCCTTAGACTTCCTTTCTCAGCGTCATGCTGATTTTCAGTCTTTTTGCTGCTGCCAAGCTGTTACAGTTCACACTGAGAATTCCCCCAAGACCCTCACACACTCACATGGGGGTGCTAAGC